CCCTTAGCATGTGGTGAAGCCTCTGGGGGGGGTCGGACCCCCCCCCTAGCATGTGGTGTGCAGAGAAGCGCGCCCCCCCCCCTGGAAGCGATGTCCGCCTGCTCCCGCCGCCCCCGCGCGCGCCCCACCCCGGCCGGGAGAAAGGGGAGTGACAGTTTGGGATTACGAGCCCGAGTATGTTGAGTCCTGGCTCAACAACGCAGAGAACAAGAGGGGGTGGTCCGGCTCACATGTCCGGCTCACGCGCCTCGAGCTCGCCATCTACCGCACTGAACACTTCCGCCCCCTCGCTCCCAACCCACCCACCTCGCCGACCGCAGAACCGCGCGATCTCGGGCGATCTCGGGCCGCGCCGCGCGATCTCGGGCGATCTCGCGCTATCTCGGAGCTCCACGCCACGCCGCCCCCCCCCCCACCCCCCACCCCACCTTACCCACCGCCGCGCCGCGCTATCTCGGGCGATCTCGGAGCGTCGCTCGCGCGGCGTCACACCTGCTCAAAAAAGGAAGGGCCTGGTTGGAGCCACGGGGCTCACGAGGACGTGCTCGCTCGGTTCTCGCCGCCTCGCCCTGCGCCACTTGGGCCGGTGAGGAGGTCCGCTTTCTTTTTTCGCCGGGCGAGAGGACAGTACGCGGACAGCCAGCGGACATGGCGCAGCGCGCCGGATACGAGAGCTCCAGCGACATTGGCGTCTTCGCGAAGCTGACCAACGCCTACTGCCTCACCGCCATCGGCGGCAGCCAGAACTTCTACTCTGTCTTTGAGCAGGAGCTCGCGGAGCACATTCCGGTGCCGCGTCCAGCCCGCCGTCATCGGAAGGGCCGCGGTTCGCTGAGCCGGCGTCATGCACTCAGGTGGTGCAAACCTCCATCGCTGGGACGCGCATCGTCGGCCGTGTCGTCGTGGGCAACAAGAACGGGCTGGTCGTTCCGAGCACCACGACGGACCAGGAGCTGCTCCATCTCCGCAACTCGCTGCCCGAGGGGGTCCTGATCCAGCGCGTGGAGGAGCGGCTGTCGGCGCTGGGCAACGTTGTCGCGTGCAACGACCACTGCGCGCTCATCCACACAGAGCTCGACCGCGAGACGGAGGAGATCATCGCGGACGTGCTGGGCGTGGAGGTCTTCCGGCAAACTGTCGCCGGCAACGCGCTGGTCGGGTCGTATGCGTGCATGTCCAACAACGGCTGCCTTGTCCACCCAAAGACACCCGTCGAGGACCAGGACGAGTTGTCCGCGCTGCTGCAGCTGCCCGTGGTCGCCGGGACATTGAACCGCGGCTCGGACGTGATTGGCGCCGGCATGGTCGTCAACGATTGGTGCGCGTTTTGCGGCCTCGACACGACCGCCACCGAGATGCAGGTCGTCGAGTCCATCTTCAAGCTGCAAGAGGCGCAGCCGGCGGCCGTGGCCACCGACATGCGCAACGCGCTGCTCGACCAGCTCGCGTGATCTCGCGCGATCTCGGAGAGCAGAGCCGGAGATTGAGGCGAGCTCGTGAGCAGACTTCCCCCCCCCCCCCCCCTCATCTCGACTACTGAGACGGCTGCCAAACTACACTGCTGGCTTGAGACCTCCGTCAGCCCTACCGCCGTGCCTTCGATACGCCCCCGCCCGTGAGCCGTGTGAGGCAGGTGTGGTGTAGAGCACAGTCTCGAGCGCGCTCTCAGGGTTGCGGACGTAGGTTTTGGCACTGCCATCGGACGGGGGATGGGGATATGGGTTGCTCATGGTACACGTCGAGCTACATCCTGTGTGTCTTGTGTTTGTGGCTAAGGTTCCATTCGGAAAAAAACCTCGGACATTTTACGAACTCCTTGGCGACGTGCGCGTCGCGTCGCCAAGGCTCTGCGACCTCGGTCGTACAATCGGCGACCTCGGTCGCACAACCGGCCGGATGCGCGGGTTTTCAGCCAGGTTCCCGCGCACCGGCCACGAACTCGACTCGCACAGCAAAAAAATCCGGTGCTCGGGCGCCGCTCCCACGCTTGACTACACACTCGCTGCACTGCTCAAAGCCAACCCTACCTCACTGGCCGCCTCCGACACTGTCCCGCGCGTCTCGCGCCCCAACTGACAACTCATCATTGTCCCTCGGACACCACTCTCCAGCCGCGCTACCTTCGCCCACCTACCGCTCTCGCATGACATCTCGACAATCCTCATATCTCCAGGCCCAAGACTCCTAACCACTGCCCCTGCTCGCCCAGGACCACGAAGCGCCGCCCGCGCGCCCATTGACCCCCCAATCAGCCCTCTTGCTGTCCCTCAATCCCCACCCGCCAGATGTACTGCCCTCGCCCACCCAATACTCTCACCCTCCTGACCCGGACAGTCCAGGTACAGGAAAAGCGGGGTGGGCGGTGCCCATTCGGAGAGAGATATTTTTGAACCAACAAGAAATCATGACTCTTTCCCATTCGGAGCCTGGCCCTGGGAGCTCCCTCAACTGAAGCGATCCAACGATTCATGAAGACCCCGAGGGCCCCGCTCTTTCCTTCGCAAAGCGGCCACTCTTCGGATCGCTGGTCGAGCGACCCGGGGGATGCCCCGCGCGCCTGACCCAGGCGCGAAAACGAATCTGCGAGGCGTGGCCGCTCACGCGGCCCGATGGGGAGGAACGGGGCGAGCCCCCTCCAACCCACCCGCGCTAGGTCTCGGGTTTGACGCATGGGGTCACTCCCGCGAAACTCGTGAACTTAGCCGGGGCAGTCGGAGAAGGGGCAACTCCGTGCACTGTCTGACGGTCGGGGCCGTCAGAAATCACGCCTGCGTCACGGCCCGGAAGTATGGTACCCTAGACGTGGATCGCGTCACACCAATCCTCGCTATACCCAACGCGGCCAAAGGATATCCACCTCGAGAACCTCGAGAGAATATGCAGCAAGTCCCGCAAGAATGGAAGAGCAAGGGCGAGAGAGGGCAAGGGACCGGACGCTGGCATACCAGGCAGGGGGGGCAGGGTGGCTGACGCGGGCTGACGCGGGCCCAGTACCTCGATGAGGTGACTTGGACCACTAAGAATTGGCTGGGGGCTGCAGAAGCAGCGTATCTCGGTCGTTCTTCACACGGCAATCGCTACCCAACGGTCGCGGCCAAAGGATATCCACCTCGAGAACCTCGGGAACTAACTAGCCGGGGCAGTCGGAGAAGGGGCAACTCCGTGCACTGACGGTCGGCCGTCAGAAAACACGCCTGCGTGGATCGCGTCACACCAATCCTCGCTACCCAACGCGGCCAAAGGATATCCACCTCGAGAACCTCGAGAACCTCGAGAACCTCGAGAACACACACACTCACTCAAGATCCTCGCTACCCAACGCGGCCAAAGGATATCCACCTCGAGAACCTCGAGAGAGAGCAGATTGTGAATGAGCCTGTGGCGGGGGTGGGCGGGAGCACGGAGCTAAGTGCCTCGCCGTCCTCGCGGGAGTCGCTTAGGCGGCTCCCGTGGTGTACCTGTGCTAGTGCCGCATTCCAATCTCCCTGCGATGGACGGCGTCTGCGATCAGCGGCACAGCGGCACGGCTCTCATCGACGCCACGGCGCCGGCGGCCCGCTCTCTCACCTTCGATTGGCTGAGGAGACACACCTCGCTGCTCGCGGATGCGCTGCAGCGGCACGCGTCGCCGAGGCAGGCCGTGGTCGGCCTCCTCTCCGAGCGCAGCGCCGAGCAGGTCTGCGGCGTCTTCGCCATCTGGCGAGCGGGCGGAGTCTACCTCCCTCTCGACCCGACCGACCCGGAGAGCCGTCTTGCGTGCGTGGTGGAGGACGCGCGGCCGGCGGCGCTGCTGGTGGCGGCGGCGTGCGAGGCCGCCACCAGCCGACTGCACACCGTCGGCGTGCCGCGGGTGCAGCTTGAGTCGGGCCGGCTGCTCGGTGCCACGTCGAGCAGCCTCGCCGAAAATGGGAGGACCTTGCCCGAGGGCGAGAGCACGACCAGGTCGACGAGCGGCAGCGCGCACTCCGCCGGCGGCTGCCGTCGGCTGATGGCAGGCTGCTGCTACCTGCTCTACACCTCCGGCTCGACGGGCGAGTCGAAGGGCGTGCTTGGCAGCCGCGCGGGCCTCGAGGCGCGCGCTGGCTGTGGCACCCCGTTACCTAATCGCAAGTAAGTGTACTCAGTCGACACGCAGGCGCGCTGCAGCTGGATGTGGGAGGCGTACCCGTTTGCGCCCGACGAGGTGTGCGTCGCCAAGACGCCGCTCGGCTTCGTCGACTCGCTCTGGGAGATGGTGGGGCCACTTGCAAAAGGCATGCCGTTGCTTCTGTTGCCGTCGGACGCGGCGTCGCGCCCTCACGCGCTGCTGCCGGTGCTGCGCGAGTGGCGCGCCTCGCGCCTCGTCCTCGTGCCGTCGGCGCTTCGCATGCTGCTGGACGCTTGCGAGGCGTGCGACGGTGGCACACCCTCCACGCCACCCGCGCCGCCGCCGCTGCCGCTGCCGAGCGTGCGTGTCGCGCGACCCTTCTCGGAGCCTTCTCGAGCCTTCTCGGAGCCTTCTCGAGCCTTCTCGGAGCCTTCTCGGAATCTTCTGCCGAGCATGCGTGTGCTGAGTGTGAGCGGCGACGCTCTGCCTTGGGCCCTCTGTGTGCGCGCCGCTGCGCTGCTGCCGCACGTGCGCCTGCTCAACCTGTACGGCTGTACGGAGACCTCCGCAGACGCCACCGCCTTCGACGTGACCGCCGCAATGGCGCGTGGCAGCAGCGACGGAGGAGGGGGTGGAGGTGGCATCGGCGTTGGCATCTGTCCGCTCGGTGCTCCAATTCGCGGAGCACACGTCTGGCTGCTGCGGGCTGCCCCGGCCGAGGCCGACGGCGACGGCGGCGGTGGCGACGGCGGCGGTGGCGACGGCGGCGGTGGCGACGGCGGCGGCGGCGACGGCGGCGGCGGAGGAGGAGAGCCTGTGCCCTCGGTTGCCGAGGAATGCGCCGCGGGCGAGGTTGGCGAGATCGGTGTGGGCGGCGAGGTGGTGGCGTTGGGGTACCTGCACCGGCCGCGCCTTGCCGCTGCCAAGTTCGCGCAGCTGCGTCTGCGTCCGAGCGGGCGCGCAACTGCGTCTGTTGCCGCTGCGTCAGGCGCACCTGCTGCCGCGGTGGCCGCCACGACAAGGCGGGTCTTTCGCACGGGTGACCTCGGCCGGTGGGGCTCGCGAGGCGAGCTGTGTTTTCTTGGCCGGGCCGACCGCCAGCTGCAGCTCCGCGGCGCGCGCCTCGAGCCGAGAGAGGTGGAGGCGGCGTATGAGGGCTTCGCGCTCGCCACCGACGCCGCCGCTCACGCGCTGGCGGTGCCGCTACTCCTCTCCGATGATGCGACCGGCCGCGACGGCGGCGGCTTGCGCATTGCCGACGGGCTCGCCTTGTGCGTGGTCCTGCGAGCGGCCGGCAGCAGCGGCGGCGGCGGCGGCGAGCCGAGTGGGAGCGCTGACGCGGTCGGCGTGCTCGACACTTCCGAGACACTCCCGAGACGCTTCCGAGACACTCCCTCGGTCAGCGTGCTCGTGGGCGCGAGCCGGCGCCTTTCGGCGCCGCTGCGGCGCTGGGGCGAGGCAAGGCTGCCGGCGTGGATGGTGCCGTCGGCGTTTGTGGTGGTCGATTCGCTGCCGTGCCTTCGTAGCGGGAAGCCTGACCGGCTGGGGCTTCAGCGGGTGGCTCCCCAGCTGGTGCGGCTGCTGCTCACGCATGGTGCGCCATACCCCGACGCGGCCAGTGCGGACGGCGGCGGCGGCAGCAGTGGCGAAGCCGTGGAGGACGGTCCGGTGAGGCTGCTGTCTGCTGAGATGGGTCGTTTGCTTGGCGTCGCCGATGGGCTGCCGGCGGCGTCTCGCTTCGTCGAGAGCGGAGGCAGCTCGGTCCTCGCGGCGCGCCTGAGCTTTGAGCTGCGCCGGCAGGGGTGGCACTTGCCACCCGAGGCACTGATGCGACGCGATGCGACGGTGGCGAGCGCGGCGAGTGCCATGAGTCGCCTCGGCGGAGCTAGCGCAGCTGGCGGCGGCCAAGGCGAGGGAGCCAAGGCGGCACACGCATCGGGGGAGGGCGAGGGCGAGGGCGGAGCCACGGCGGGGGCGCGGACACCGCTCGCCAGCCGGCTGCACGTGGCTGCCACGGGAAAGACGGGGGAGCGCGGGGAGAGCGCGGCAAACGAGCCGGCGCCGTACGATGAGGCGACGCCGCCGCTGCTCGGCGGTGCGATGGAGCTGCGGCCGCAGGCGGCAGGCGAGCCGCGCGCGGGGTCGCACGTGTGGAGCCTCGGCCGCGCCGCGCTACTCTCCGAGGCCGTGCCGCCCCCCGCTTCGAGCCGCTCCGCGCCGCGAGCCATGGAGCCACCGCCGCTACCGCCGCCGCCGCTTCTTCTTCCGCCGTGCGGCTGGCAGCTCGCGTGGCGCGAGATATGGGGAGATGTGGGGAGATGTGGGGAGATAGCCGTGCAGCTGGCAGCTCGCGTGGCGCTCCGACCTGGGAACGCGCGTCGTCGAGCTGTGAACAGCGTCTGTTCACACCGAGGAGCCGTGGGCAGGCGTGCCGACATGGGCAAGTGCGTCGACGCATCACCCGTGCTAGCGTGCCGCGTCAGCGGCGACCCCCAACGCCACAGCGTGACCGCCTTTGTCGGCTCCCACGCCGGGCTGCTGCAGGCTCTCGACCTCGCCCCATATCTCCCCAAATCTCCCCATCTCTCCCCAGATCTCCCCATCTCTCCCCATCTCTCGTCGTTTCTCACCGCTGCAGGCTCTCGATCTGTGCAGCGGCGCCGTTCTCTGGTCGGCGCAGCTGCCGGATCGTCTCGAGGCGAGCTGCGCCGTCTCTCCCCATCTCTCCCCATCCCTCCCGATCTCTCCAGAGAGCCGCCGCATGGGTCATCAGCGAGGTGTGTGTCCGCAGAGAGGTGCATTAGAGTGAGGAGTCCAAGAGTCCGAGTCCAAACTGGAGGGTGTGACACTGGACATCTTGTGTGCCGGGGGGGGAGCAAGGAATGTCAGCATGATTGTGGGGGGAGAGTCGGCTTTTTGGGAAGTGTGACGGAGAGGAAGTAGACAGTAGTCCACAGGCGTCTGGCATCACAACGGGCGAGCCCGCAACGGCGTATGGCTCTGGGTACAT